TTAATAAAATATTCCTGATTTAATTCAAGTGGTAGTGGGGATAGTAATAATAGGAGCAGAGAATGATGTGCCTGAGGAGTCAGCTGAAAAGAGAGGTTTGAATCCACCCAGAGGTACCTCAAAATACAGACCTAGCAAATTGCATCTGAAAAGTCAAACGTTGAAAACCCTGTAAAGTAGTACTTCCCCGTCCACATGGAGTTACCATGAGCCCGTAATCAACTCATCACCAACTAACCACAGCGGCGTGATGTGCCAGGCACTGAAGCCGTATGATTTGTTTTTTTAGCGTCTATCCTATGTAACAGGTAAAGTTATTCCAAGATTACAAAGGAAGGAATTGAAGTTCAGAGAGGTTATTCACTTGCACCAAATTACACTTCCAATAAAAGGACAAGAGTCACACCGGGGCCTCTCTGACTCCGGACCCTCCTCTCCCTCGCGATACACCGTACTTTAAGATAGCAGAGATCCTGTGCCTAGATGTCAGGGTGCCCAGCTTGTGTGGTTTCTTCTCTCCCATGCTGACTGACAGCCTGATTTGCAAATAAGATGTCCCTTGGATCTTCTCATCTTTGTGTGAAAATTGTTTGTTCTTTCTAGGAGAATGGAGTTTCTGTTGTGCACCGGTTATACTTCTTTGGTCAAGTGTCAGTTCTGTAAAAGTGAACAAATAGGGTGCATAAGCAAATGTGGAGAAGACAGTGGATGGTGCCCAGCTATCAAAAGATATAGCTTCTGGGGTCTTAAAGCCTTGAGGTTAAATAAGCAGCCATCTAGCAGGGAAGCAAATAAGCCCACATGGAAGAAGCACACCAGCCTATGTGATCATGAGGTGTCGACTGGATCAGGAATCAGGTTATCAAAAGATCCAAAGCAAACAACTATATCAATCAAATGAGGTGGGAGGGGATGGAGTGGAGACCCAAAGCCCATCTGTAGACACCTCAATATCCCCTCACAAAAGGATTATAAGGAAGGGATGATTCAACCAAGGTGCAGTATAGCACCAACGAATCAGGCATCATTCCTGTAGTTCGTGAATGCTTCCTCCCCTGGACTGCCATGACCCAGTTCTACTTTATAGATCTGGATAGACAGGAGTACGCACATTGGTACAGATAAGAGCTCTCAACTCATGGAATTCAGGACAGGTAAAACCCTCACCTACTCTGGGCAGAGGTTCAATACTTGCCCACACTGCCATATTTTTGCCCATCCTGTCCCCTCTACTCAAAGAACGTAGATTCCCCTACTTGCCCTTTTAAGTAGGAGAGCTGGCAGTGGAGTGATTATGTAGTGGCCTGCTAACCACCAAGTCAGTAATCCAAGCCACCAGCTACTCCATAGGAAAAGGATGAGGCTTTCTATTCCCTTCAAGAGTTGCAGTCTTAGAAACCCACAGGGGCA